TCATTTATAGTTCCACATTTTGGAGATTTTTTTTTTTTTTTAACCAAGACAAAAAGTAAGTCTTTACCAGGAATAAATCGTTTTTAACCAAAGAGGAAACCAGGGTAAAAGGGAAGAGCTGAAACTGCAGTGGTTATTTACACAGTCAGCAGTGACTCACAACCTTGAACTCTGGCACTGCACGGCATTAATGTTCAACAGGACTCTTGTGGAAGGAACAAACACAGTATTGCACTTCTCTGTCTTATTAGCTAAATATAAGTGAGGCATATTGAAAATACTACACACACAAAAACTCAGTTCAATGGACTGATTTAAAAATAGTTACTAACTTTATTCATAGGTTTTTAAAACAGAACTTGTTACAGGTAATCACGAAGCTTCCAAAAAAAAAAAAAAATTACATTCTGCTTTTGTCACTTTGATAGGACAAGGAATGTTTAAATGTCCTTAAAACATAGGGGAGTTAAAAGTTGACAAACTACTACAAACTATGGATTGTCCACTTCACGCACACTAAAATGTGGAATACATGTACATAAATTACTGACCGGTTGTTTACAATACAAACAATATGCACTACAGCTTATAGTACCATAAAGGTAACATGCTCCAAAATATAACAGAAGATCACAAACACGTTCAGAGAAAATAGTAACTTTGACTCTTGGGTTCAATTAAGGTTGAAGTGAAATGATCGGGAAAGTTTTCTGAAACTTGAAGGGCACACACATTATAGCAGAACCATCAATCAACACTCACATGGGGTTGAAAAGCAGCAGGAAGAATATGGCACGATAACAAGGGTAACCACCTTTCTCTCTCCTCAGTCCCCAATTTGAGTTAGGAAGATTGGGGACTAAACAGAAAACAATGTTTAAAAAACATATATTATCTGCATAGATAGAAATCTTCCATTATGATGAGAGTGAACATTCGGTCAAAGCTATGCAGGAGTGCCAAGAGTCTGCAGGATATGATTCTGTTTTCAAAAGGAAATATATACGTTTACATCCACACGGACCACATAACAAATTTAGTGAAAGATCTTTATGCTGTTATTGAAGTGGGTTGAGACACTGACTCAGCCCCAGGTTAGTTCTCAACCTCGGTTAAAAACTCTACTTTGAACATGATTTTTATAATCTTTGTCAGTGAACCCAGCAGTTGTTGCTTTCAGTTGTCTTATCGATTGTACATTTGGTAATAAGAAAACAGTCTCCAAATGATTAACATTTTCCTGTGATTCACAATTAAACAATGGCATTCTGACCAAGATGTTCAGGCTGATCCATACACCAAGGGGGGTTTAAAAGACAAATAAGTATTTGGTGAATTGTAGGACAAGGTTCATAAATCTTTTAAAACTTTTTAAGTAGTGAGTTTCTGTAAGATGAACTTACTGGTCCAGCTAGGAAGCAACTATTTCCCCATCTTTTGTTCCTTTAGATTGTCACCCCAATTATAAATAATTTGTTTCTTTTAGTACAGGAAGATATAAATGCAAATGTGCAAACAAAGGAAGAAGGAAAGATGGACCAAGTTCACCTATTTGGTACGTACGAGGTCCACAACTCTGCAGAAAGGGGAGAAACCCAGTAGACAGAGGGCCTGACGCACCACGGGATTGAGTACATTTTCCATTGCTTAATTGTGTGTGAGATTTTCCCTTTTAAAATAAATCTATGGTCTGTGAAATAGTCTGTATAAAAATATGAAGCCGGCCGGGCGCGGTGGCTCACGCCTGTAATCCCAGCACTTTGGGAGGCCGAGATGGGCGGATCACGAGGTCAGGAGATCGAGACCATCCTGGCTAACACGGTGAAACCCCGTCTCTACTTAAAACACAAAAATTAGCCGGGCGTGGTGGCAGGCACCTGTAGTCCCAGCTACATGGGAGGTTGAGGCAGGAGAACGGCGTGAACCCGGGAGGCGGAGCTTGCAGTGAGTGGAGATCGCACCACTGCAACTGCACTCCAGCCTGGGCGACAGAGCAAGACTCTGTCTCAAAAAAAAAAAAAAAAAAAAAAAGTGAAGCCTTGAATAGGTCAGTCACAGCAGTTCCATCTTGAATAGAACTCAATCTTACAAGCACGGAGAGACAGTATCATTCCACTGCAAACTCTTTTATTTCCACCTCATATTAGATCTCTTTCTGCTTCAGTAGAGTTACCTCTTCAGTATGACTATTAATCATTTCATTAATAGGAAAATCTGGGAAAGCCCATATAAAATGCCAACGTAACTGCTGGCTACCAAGATAAAATTATTTAGGCAGATTCCAACCCCAATGGTTCAATGATAACAAAACCAGAAAACATGGGACATCAAATTCATTCACTAAAATTACTAAGTCACCTCTTCCATCAGACGATGAGATTTTTCTTTTTTTTTTTTTTTTTTTTTTTTTGAGACAGAGTCTGGCTCTGTCGCCCAGGCTGGAGTGCAGTGGCCGGATCTCAGCTCACTGCAAGCTCCGCCTCCCGGGTTTACGCCATTCTCCTGCCTCAGCCTCCGGAGTAGCTGGGACTACAGGCGCCCGCCACCTCGCCCGGCTAGTTTTTTGTATTTTTAGTAGAGACGGGGTTTCACCGTGTTCGCCAGGATGGTCTCGATCTCCTGACCTCGTGATCCGCCCGTCTCGGCCTCCCAAAGTGCTGGGATTACAGGCTTTCATTGTTTCCCATTAGGGAAAAAAGAATCCTCCCACTTCATGCCCTTTTTTTTTTTTTTTTTTTCCCTGATGACAGGAATTAGTATTCATTGCCTCTTTAAGAGGCCAATGCAAAAAAAAAAAGAAAAAAAAAAAAGGTAGAAAAAGCCCTAGCCCAGGAGTTGGGATTGCCAGTTCAAGTCCCTGGGTTGCCTTGTTGGGGTGCCTAAGTCAGTGCCATAACCTCAGTTTTTCTAATCTATGTAACATGGGGATAGAGTACATGATTTCCATGGTCACTTTCACCTCTGTGATTCAGCCTCTAAGAAAGTCAAATCTTTTCACTTTGTAATCGTGACATTTTTAAAAGATGGAGTTAATATGAATGGGAAACCTTTTTTTTTTTTTTTTTTTTTGAGCCAGGGACTTGCTATGTTGCCCAGGCTGGTCTTGAACTCCTGAACTCAAGTGATCCTGTCATTTCAGCCTCTCAAATGACTGAGACTACAGGCACACACCACTGCACCTGGCTAAAGACTAGCTTTTTAAAGAATAAAAGTACTGCACTTCACCTCTATCTCCTGGTATCTGTTCGATTCAAACACACCATCAATGCCTACAATATTTTATTTAGAGCCAGGCGTGGTGGCTCATGCCTGTAATCCCAGCACTTTGGGAGGCCGAGGCGGGCAGATCACTAGGTTAGGAGATCGAGACCATCCTGGCTAACATAGTGAAACCCCGTCTCTACTAAAAACAAAAAACAAAAAACCAAACACAAAAAAGTAGCCGGGTGTTGGGGCGGGCACCTGTAGTCCCAGCTACTCAGGAGGCTGAGGCAGGAGAATGGCGTGAACCCGGGAGGCGGAGCTTGCAGTGAGCCGAGATTGCGCGGCTACACTCCAGCCTGGGCGACAGAGCAAGACTCTGTCTCAAAAATAAATAAATAAATAAATAAATAAATAAAAATAAAAAATATTTTATTTAAACCTTTATGTTGAATTTAAAAGTTCCTTGAAGCTTTGCTTTGGCTCTTAATTACTGATATGTTTTTGAGTATAACATTTTGAAGAAGCAGAATGTGAAAAGACTAATTTGCTTTCCCACTGAGTTTTAGTTCTCGAAGGCAATGGAACTGTTCTTATCCATTTCTGCCTCTTAGTACCTTAAACCTCAGAGATGCTCACTAGTACACTTTTTACTTGGATTTATCTTTGGTTTCATCAGGTGGATGTGCTACAAAAATCTAGAACGTAGGAGCCAATGCAGTGTAGGTTCTGTGACTCTCCTTGTTAATTGTTACGGTTTTCTAATCCTTCACAAATATTTTTTTCCCAACACAAAGCACCATTATCTTTTCTCACAATTTTCTACATAGTTTGAGTCCCATGAAGAGGTTACGGTTTCTAAAGAAAACATGGCTACTACTATGCTATCAGGGTTACTTTTTCTTTTTTTTTTTTTGTCTGAGACGGAGTTTCACTCTTGTTGCCCAGGCTGGAGTGCAATGGCGTGATCTTGGCTCACCGTAATCTCCATCTCCCAGGTTCAAGCAATTCTCCTGCCTCAGCCTCTCAAGTAGCTGGGATTACAGGCATGTGCACCACGTCAGGCTAATTTTGTATTTTTTTAGTAGAGACGGGGTTTCACCATGTTGGTCAGGCTGGTCTCGAACTCCTGACCTCAGGTGATCCACCCACCTCGGCCTCCCAAAGTGCTGGGATTATGGTGTGAGCCACCACACCTGGCCTATCGGCAAAATCCAAGTAATAACTCAATTTCAAAAAAATTGCAGAAAAGCTTATTAAAAGAAAAAAAAAAACACCACAAGACTTACCTCTCGTAAATTTGTTACATGAACTAGATATTATACAGCCCAAAAAGGACAGAGATGATAGTACCTGTTAAGATCCTGGTTCATTTCACAATATGAAAAAGTTGATGGGTACTTAGTAGCTTTTTTTTTAAAAAAAATTAATTTTATTATACTAGAAAAATGAAAATATTAATGTTTTCCATTCAGAAAAGTTTAAATGACTTTCTAATTTTGGTTTAAAGTTTTCTTCAATTTATTCAATGCTCTAAAAAAAAAAAAGATAGAAAAGCATTGGGTAATTTGCACTGCTTGACTGTAAAAAGTTTTACATGTTAGGAATAGAATATTCTTTAATTGGCAGGCAGAGAATGAAAGCCAAGCCAAATAACAAAATATCATGGGTTTTGATCACTTAGAAAATTACAGTGAATCAATATTACCTAAAAGGAAATTCAAAAAATTCCCAATTGTTGATAATACATGTCTCCTGACATATAGGGTCCATCTTGCAACAAAAAATGGGCACAATGCTGAGTTCAGAACTGCAAAGTACATTTATTAAGTGGCTGTCGGTTAAAATGACAAATGATGATTTGAATTCAATACATCAAACTGCTGATAGAATTGCAAATTTCAACTGAATTTACATTGAGGCTTAGCAGCGGTTGTTGGCTACAAATGGAACAGTTTATTACCTCAGAGTATTTGAGGGCAAGGAAGATATAGAAAAAAAATTTAGGGGTGTGCAACACGTTAGTGCTCAGAAATACATTTTACCATAGTGAGAACAAAACCACAATGACATGTTAGTATCACTGTGCAGACGTCATGGTTGAATGCCTGCGTTTTGTTCCTTCATGGTGGCAGCCGCCTTGGTTCATTAGTTCTCACTCATGTTTGCAGCTCCTTCACATGCCCCAGAGCTTCCCAAGTGTGCCACACAAAGGAAACGGCACAGTGAGTGGAGGCCAGCAGACCCACTCAGCCCAAAGCAAAGCCTTCTCAGTGATGAGACTTTTCTACAGAAGGGACTTCAAAGTCTAAACAGACCAGAAAGAGTTAAAAAGATCCTGCTTCTTCTTAGGGGGGTTCAAATATACATTCTGACCCGTAAGTGAGAGACAATTCTGTCTTAGGAAAAGTGCCAATTGCAATCCGGGTACGAAATTTCAACAAAAAGAAAAGTAAAACTGAATGATCTTCCCCTCCTTCCCTAACTCATAGAAAAATAGTGGGTGTGACTTTTGTTTCAAAGCAAGCTGAAAAATGGTTAAAGGGACAATTTACATTATCATTACCTTTTCTAGTTGAAAGTCTATGAATGACATACATAAACGTACACATCACAGCAAAAGACTCAAGAACTAGTGGTTAACACGATACTGGAAAAGGTGAAGGATAAAAGTTGGTGAATGAAGGTAGCTGGGTGGTCTACAGGCTAGAACACGGTCACCAACGGCAGAATGCAGTAGCCACCTGCAATCCTAATCATTCAAGCTTCCTGGTGGTACGTCCCACTTCTAAAGCGGCCCTCCTTCCCGGGCAGCCATGTCTGGAGGATGCCACATCAGGAATGAGAGCCTATGCATTGCTTTGTCCCAAATTCCAGATAAGAGCAACATGTGGGGACATCTGTGTCGTAAGACTGATCCTCAAAGTGGATTTGGCATTTCTTCCCCAAAGCTGATGAAACAAATACTTGAGAACCATGATTTCTACGAATTATTCTGTATTTCAGGTTTCTTTTCCTGCAAAAAATGTCGTGTACACTGAATAACAATCTTTGATCGATTTATTAATTAGAAGCTATTTATACCAGTAGAAAAATACCCATTGTATTTTTCTCTTTGAAAGACTATTTTTAAATTCATAAAAATGGTACTGTACTGGCTGCAACTAGAGTTGCAGTTTTTGGTGTCTCATGTGATACGGCATCAGGAGGGACTTACATGGCTGGAGGGGAGCCAAACTGTTTTCCTCATCTGTTACTATTTAAACATGGTTAAAGGTGGCCACATCTCCGGGGCTTCTCCTTTAATGTGAAGTCCCATTTGGAATAACACTTAGAATCTGGGACAGGTCAAATCAGCTGCTACTCTACACGACCGTGTCTGCAGTACAGGCGTGGTGAGCAGACCTACACCTCACTCTGCAGAGTCTCAGCTATACTGTCAGCAGCAACGCATCGGCCGCGGAGCACAGATCGCCATGGCCAGAGCCCACCAAGGCAGCCGCCTTGCACCACAACCAAACGCCTCACAGTGCGCAGTCGAAGGTCTGGGACTCATGCAGCGCTGCGGTCGGAGGGTCGGGGCGCCTCGTCTGGACAATTTTCTGTTTGGGGTTTTTTGTTTCTTCTTCCTCTTCAGTTTCACTTTCACAGACATGAACCACCACGCTGGGCGTCGACTCCGTTCCTGCGTGAAGTTCGTATTTCTCTCCTGCGGAGGTAAAAGCAAAATAAGAACCATGACAAAAGCATCACTTCCAGCAAAAAGAACTCTGTTGTCTCTTGCAACGTTTCATTCTACTCCTATTTTAATGGGTGATTCATGTTGTTTAAATCTTTAAGTCCTATGTCAGAGTATTTTACCGTGTTTTGGTGTTAGAGATTTGATACTTTAAGGCTGGTATAAAACGTTGTTTCAGTACTGAGGTCTTGGGAGTTAAAATGCAAATGCTAATTATTGTTTTATGAATAATATGAGTGAATCTGTTTAATTAACTTATTTATTTATTTGAGATGGAGTCTTGCTCTGTCGGCCAAGCTGGAGTGCAGTGGCGCGATCTCAGCTCACTGCAACCTCTGCCCCCGCCCCGGTTCAAGTGATTCTCCTGCCTCAGCCTCTGGAGTAGTTGGGACTACAGGTGTGAGCCACCACGCCCAGCTAATTTTTGTATTTTTAGTTGAGATGGGGTTTTATCATGTTGGCCAGGGTGGTCTCAAACTCCTGACCGCAAGTGATCTGCCTGCTTTGGCCTCCCAAAGTGCTGGGATTACAGGTGTGAGCCACCGCACCCGGCTGAGTCAATCTGTTTAACTTCAAAATGGTTTCAGTTTTCCTTTGGGAGATACTTGTAAGGATCCAGGCAGCACAGGCAATCCGTTGATTATAGGACCTTGGATATCTAAGATACAGCTCTAACATCTAAAAACAGCACTGAGTCACTTCTTCCTCAAAATGCCTCCTTTATTCCCCTTCAAGAGACGTAACTCTGTCTTGGGTGGACAACTGTCTGAACCAGCATCACGTTGGTTTCTTATATGATTTTAAAAGGAAGAGAGGTAGAGAAAGAGAAGGAACAGAGGAAATGAAACAGAAATGACAAAAATATTGAAGGAATGAGATGATATCACCACCAATTCCTTGTAATGTATTCAAAGCAGTTGTTTGCCTGATACTTGGTGGGGCTGGGGAGAGAAGGCACCTAATATTCACTAACTGCCTATCAAGTACTAGCAAAATTTGTAGTAAAAATTGCAGTTACATTTACTGAGTATTATGTGTACATCATTTAATACTTATTTTTTATTTTTATTTTTGGAGACAGAGTCTTGCTTCAAGGCCCAGGCTGGAGTGCAGTGGTGTGATCTTGGCTCACTGCAACCTCCGCCTCTCGGGTTCAAGCAATTCTCCTGCTTCAGCCTCCCGAGTAGCTGGGACTAGAGGCGTACACCACCACACCTAATTTTTTGTATTTTAGTAGAGACAGGGTTTCACCATGTTGGTCAGGTTGGTCTCGAACTCCTGACCTCAAGCAATCCGCCTGCCCTACCCTCTCAAAGTGGTGGGATTACAGGTGTGAGCCACCACGCCCAGCCCTCATTTAGTACTTATAACCACACTGAATGGTGTATATGATTCTCCCTACTTTATAGATGGAAAAGCAGAAGCTCAGAAAATGGAGGCTATGTAACTTGCTCAAGATCACAGCAAGTAGATGCCACAGCTGGAATTTGAACCCAGGTGTGTTTGACTTTATCCTCTGCTCTAATCATACTGCCACAATGCACACTGCTGAATATGATCTTCAATATAAAAGTTTCTTGGGGAAGAAAAGAGGAAAAATAGAAGTTTATTACCTGGTCCCAGTTTGGAAACAGCACAGAGTAAATCATAATTTATAACAGGCATCGCATCTTCGCTCTGCTTCCACCCCACCGGGGGAGAGGCTGGAGGAGAGATGAGGAACTGCTTGACAGGCTGGGGCGGCAGGAGATAGGACTTGTCCCGCACTTCACCAGACATCTGCACCTGCGGGGAGCGAGATGCTCAAAGCCAGTTTGCAAACTGGGCTATGTTTTCTTCATTTTCAACTTTATGTTTACTGTTCCATCTTTGTGTAGAAAATTAAACATTTCTCTTAAACAGTCTATAATCTCCAAGAGGGTGGGACTGGGTCTGTTTGGCTCACCACTGGCCACTCAGTGCACAGCACATGGCCACACATAGTAGATGCTTCATAAATATTAACCGAATAAAAAATAAATGGATGGGCTGGGTGTGGTGGCTCACACCTGTAATCCCAGCACTTTGAGAGGCCGAGGTGGATGGATCACCTGAGGTCAGGAATTCGAGATCAGCCTGGCCAACATGGTGAAACTCTATCTCTACTGAAAATACAAAAATTAGCCGGGTGTGGTGGCACATGTCTGTAGTCCCAGCTACTTGGGAGGCTGAAGCAGGAGAATCACTTGAACCCGGGAGGCAGAGGATGTGGTGAGCTGAGATTGCATCACTGCATTCCAGCCTGGGTGACAGTGAGACTCCATCTCAAAAAATAAAAAAATAAAAATAACAGATAAATAAATAAATAAGTGGATGAACAGAGAAATGAATGACAGTAACTACTAAATTCCAATCTGAGAAGACATTAGGTTATATCGACTTATTTGTACCCTATCTCAAGAGACTCTACCCAGAAATGTCAAGACATCTTTTCATTTAGGTTTTTACTTGGAAGGCAAGACAAGAAACTTTTTTTTTCTTTTAATTTGAAAGGGAGACTGTAAAAAATGCTTTTCTGAAAATAAAACAGTGCACTTGATACACGAGCAGTCTCTTGATTTTGCCCATTCTTCTCAGAAGAAATCCGTTTCTCAGCGAGTCACACCAACGCAGGATTAGAATATACTAAGTGTAGCCAATTCTTGGTACCCTACAGGGTCCTCTGCAATTTCAAAGTCGAAGATTTGTACAGTTCTGTGACCTCCCTGGTTCCTCATATGAATTATGGAACACAGAAAATGATTTAAGAGACCATTTTCTCAGTTTTCCCAAGGATTTCATGTCTTATTTCATGTGTGCCATTCTAGATGCACAGGAGGTAAGTGAGTTCCCTAACACTAGGTGTCAGGGCGTAACCCACGCAGAAACCCGGTTGATCAAAGGTGCCAGAAAAATCAACTCCTTCAACTGCTAGTCTCAGCAAAACAAAGTTAGGAGGTCAATGTGCTTAATACATACATAACATTATGTACCTATAAAATAAAAGGAAAATATTTTTGTATTATTTGCTGATTGAGATGGTTCATTCTATACACCTCTACTATAATAATATAGAAAACAGTGAACTAAAACTATTTTTGGATGGAGAAAAACAAGTTTAGAGAACAGTGTTCTTTGCACTGTGAAGTACCTGTGCAAAATACAGCTTTAGCTTCTGCCCATTGAAGTCTGTTTCGTGGAGTTCTATTCGCGCTCTTGCTGCTGCTTCAGGTTTGCTGAAATTTATTCTGACTCTTCTAAAGCTTTTAAACAGTTGAAAAGTAACTTGGTCATCATAGATGGTGAAGAGTGCTTCAAATCTTTCCTATAATTAAGGAGCAGCAAGGCAAAGGGAATGGGAGTGAAAAAAAAGAAAAATCTTTAACAGAAGAGGAAATGTAAATCATGGAACCTAAGTAATTAAGAACTCATTGTAAGTTAAACTTTTCTCCTAAAACAGTATACTTTTCTTGCACATATACAAGAACAGGTATTCTGTAATTTAGCAATTGCACTTACTTTATGTATTTTTTTGAGATGGTGTCTCATTCTGTCATCCAGGCTGGAGTGCAGTGACGTGATCTCAGCTCACTGCAACCTCCACCTCTTGGGTTCAAAACGATTTTCCTGCCTCAGCCTCCAAAGTAGCTGGGATTATAGGGGCTGGCCACCATGCCCGGCTAATTTTTATATTTTTAGTAGAGATGGGTTTCACCATGTTGGCCAGGCTGGTCTTAAACTCCTGACCTCAAGTGATCCATTCACCTCAGCCTCCCAAAGTGCTGGGATTACAGGCATGAGCCACCACGCTGGGTCATGCACTTATTTTAAGTGTAATTAACTTTATTAAATATTGTCTACATTCAAAGGTTATAAAACGAATGCAAGATATAAGAGAATGATACAAACATGCCCAATTCTAGAACACTGCTACTGTTCTGATGTCCTCGGTGCAACAAGGTTGGTTTTCCCTGTCACATTCCTTTCCTCCTTCAAAGCTGTCATTTCTGGAATTTTATCATTCCCTTGTTTTTCTTTATAGTTTACAACATTTATTTGTATCTCTAAAAATGTTATCATGTTATATGTATTCTTCCACAACTTGCTTTTTTTGCTTAGATCTTGCTGCTGAGGTTCTCCCTTGCTGCTGTGTGTGACTGTTTTTTTTGTTTGTTTTTTTTTTTTGGAGATAAGAGTCGCACTCTGTTGCCTAGAATGAGGTGCAGTAGTGCAATCTTGCCTCACTGCAGCCGTGACCTCTAGGGTTCAGGTAATCCTCCTGCCTCAGCCTCTTGGGTAGCTGGGACTAAAGGTACCTGCCACCACATCCAGCTAATTTTTTGTATTTTCAGAAGAGAGGGGGTTTTGCCACATTGCCCAAGCTGGTCTCAAACTCCTTGGGCTGAAGTCGTCTACCCCCCTTGACCTCCCAAAGTGCTGGGATTATAGGTATGAGCCACTACACCCAGCAAGACATCCATTTCTAAGTACTGTTTCAGCTGTTCACCACCAGTTTGTTTAATTTTTTTTTTTTTTTTTTTTTTTGAGACAGGGTCTTGCTATATTGCCTGAGTTGGGCTCAAGTGATCCTCCTGCCTCAGCCTCCCAAGCAGCTGGGAGTACAGGCATGTGCAACCACACCCAGCACCTGAACAGTTTTGATATGTTTTATTTTTATTTTTTAAAATAGAAGGCAGGGCAAAAATAAAATAAAATAAGCCAGGTGTGGCCAGGCATAGTGGCTCACACCTGTAATCCCAGCACTTTGGGAGGCTGAGGTGGGCGGATCACTTGAGGTCAGGAGTTCAAGACGAGCATGGTCAACATGGTGAAACCCTGTCTCTACTAAAAATATAAAAATTAGCCAGGCATGGTAGTCAGCACCTATAATCCCAGCTATTTGGGAGGCTGAGGTGGGAGAATCACTTGAACCTGGGAAGTGGAGGCTGCAGTGAGCCAAGATCGTGCCACCGCACTCCAGCCTGGGTGACAGAACAAGACTCTGTCTTTAAAAAAAAAAAAAAAAGAGAGAGAGAGAGACAGAGTCTCTCTGTCGCCCAGGCTGGAGTGCAGTGGTGTGATCAGAGAGCTCACTGCAGCTTCGAACTCCTGGGCTCAAGCCACCCCCACTACATCAGCCTCCTTCAGCATGCACCACCGCATCTGGCTTTTTTTTTTTTTTTAATGAGATGAGGTCTTGCTATGTTTCCCAGGCTAGTCTCAAACTCCTGAGCTCAAACTATCTTCCTACCTTGGCCTCCCAAAGTGCTGGGATTACAGGCATGAGTCACCATGCCTGGCCACACCTGGCTAATTTTATTTCATTTTTGTACAGAGTCTCAAAGTCTTGCCCAAGCTGGTCTGGAACTTCTGTGCTCAAGTAATCCTTCTGCCTGAGCCTCCCAAAGTGCTGGGATTAAAGACGTGAGCAACTGCGCCAGTTGATTCTAAATACTCTCTGATTTTTCTTACGATCTCTCCCTGTCTCATGAATTGTTTAGATGTATGTTTCTTAAACTGCAAATAGACGGGAGTTTTTTATCTTTTTAATGTCTTACTCATTTTCACTCTGATTGGAGTAGGCTATCCATAGTGATAGTAATCCTTTGACAGTTTGAGACTTGCTTTTGGTTCAATGTCATTAAATTTCATAAATCTTCCACATGTGCTTGAAAAGAGTGTATTTGTGCAGCTGTTTGGTACAGTATTATAAAAATGTTCAGTATATCCAACTCATATTCTTTACAAGTTCCATATCCTGATTGTTTGGGGGTCTGTTTTAACTATTATCAGGAAAGATCTGTTAGATTTTCCCACTATCAGGTGGATGTGTTATTTTTCTGTATAATTTGGTTACTTTTGCGTCCTACATTTTAAGGCTAAGTTACCATGTGCGTACAAGCTTATAGTTGTTTTCTCTTCCTGGTGAATGAAACTTTTAATCATTAGATAGTGACCTTCTTCATCTGCCAGATAAAGGAATGTGCTTTGTTTTAAAGTCTATTTTGTCTGGTATTAATATAGCTAGTGTAGCTTTCTTTTGATTATGTATTGCATGGAAATCAATTTTTAGCCTTTACTGCTAACCTTTATGTATCCTTATGTTTTAGGTATGTCTCATAAAAAGAATACATGTGTGTATAATGCATGTGTGTGCCTGTATGTAAATAAATGCAGTTTGACACTCACTGTCTTTCCACTGGAGTCCATTGTTGATTGCTGGTATTTTGGGATGTCTACTATCTTATCTGTTTGTCTTAGATTTTCTGTGTTCATTTTTTTTGTTTGTTTGTTTTCTTTCCAACTATTTTTTCTCTTTCTCTATTCCTACCCTGAGTGAAATTCCTATGAAAGATGCTAATGTATGTTTGACAACGTCTTTAAAGATGCCTAACTCCCCTCCCTACAGCCACAGCTTCTCTTTCACAAAGGCAAAACCATCAAACCTTTTTCTCAACATTCATACTGGGACTATGCAATTCCACAAAAATAGCATTTTGGGGTAAAAAGCATTGGAAGAATATCTGAGCACAAATCATTTTATATAATTTGCAATAAGTGTGATCTCCAGAGTATTTTGAGATGGACTAGAGAAAGAGAGCAATATTTGAATCATTCATGAGGCTGAGAAAAAAAATGGTTATTTTCCTATTTATTAATGAATTGGGATAATGAAAAGCCTAATTTCAATCACCAGAAGAAACGCAACATTAAATTTTCTTTACAGAAAACATTATTTAGGCAATGGTTTAATACACGAAATGTAATAAAATGGATCTAAGAAACTTCTCAATACCTTTAGAAGTATTCCTTAGGCTTGGCAATGGTAACACAATAAAAGGAACCTATAAATTAGCTTTGTTCTCGCTTGGCCTATGTAAAGATCTTTCAATGATCTATTGATCCTGAAGTGCAAATTATACATTCCCTCATTTATTAGCTTCTCTCAATGTGAACATTTACCTGCCACTTTGCACTATTTCTCCAATTGTATAAAATATAAAATAATTTGTCCTCTAATATTTATTCTTTGTGTTCAAATATCCTTCATTCTTGAGGAAACATCATTTATCCTAAAGACTATGTATTTTTTGCTGATTCATTTAAAAAAATAAATTATGCCGGACCTTCTACTCAGCCTGGCTTTTCAGTGGACTGCAAGCTGCTTCCAGCAGGGGGCAGTTTTAAGATCAATCCTATTCTTATTTACCACAGTATTTCCATATACTAAAGTAATACAGAAAGCCATGCGCGGTGGCTTACGCCTGTATTCCTAACACTTTGGGAGGCTGAAGCAGGCAGATCAACTTGAGGCAAGGAGTTTGAGACCAGCCTGGCCAATGTGATGAAACCCCATCTCTACTAAAAATACAAAATTACACACCTGTAGTCCTAGTTACTCAGGAGGCTGAGACATGAGAATTGCTTTAGCCTGGGAGGCAAAATTATGCCACTGTACTCCATCTTGAGTAAGAGAGCAAGACTGTCTCAAAAAAAAGTAATATAGATAAATAATAAAATATTATATAGCTTTAGTAAGGATTTTAAAGTAGCATATCAGTTCTTAAAAGGGAAGGTGAATAGGTAAATATATTAAATACTGATAATTATTATTGCTTCTGGATACATTTCAAAGTTTCTTCAGCATCCATTTCAAAGGTGGTTAGCTTTGTCGCTTTTAAAGAGAATGAGAATTGAGATTTTGCAAAATTACAACCCATTTGGTTCTTGGTATTAGTTTATTTTAAATGTATTTTAAACATTAAGAAAATATTAAAATTCCCATGTGATATAGCCAAGAAATATTAACACTGAACACAATGGAAATCAAGAACTAATTAAGAACAGCTTATAAAATATTAGTACTTTGTTAATTCTATACATTAAACATTTTCCTTGCCCAAGGTAAAAGGACCATGTATTATCCCTAGTCCTCCACAGCAATGAATTTTTCCTAGTACCAATGCATTGTATGACAGAAGCTATCTTGCAAACAGCTACTTGATAATCATATCCTTCTTCCTTTTTCCCTTCAAGATACTTCTTTTCTTCAAATTCCAGAAATACACTGTAACTGAATGTAACATGCAGATGACAGCAATGGGTCATATGGCTGGTGCCTGCTCTTTCTCTCTCTCTCTCTCTCTCTCCACCAAAATCCAATACCTGTGATAGGACTAAGAATTATAACAAAATGGCCAGACACAGTGGCTCATTCTTGTAATCCCAGCACTTTGGGATGCCAGGAACTTGAGACCAGCCTGGGCAACACTGCAAGACCCTATCTCTACAAACAAATTAAATAGTTAGCCAGGCATGGTGGCA